AGGGGCATGGGGGGGCACGAGGGAGGGAGTGGGGCTGGGGCAAGGGCAGGCACTGCACAGCTGGGGCAGGGCACGGCGTGGGACAGAGCCGGTAGCTTGTGCAGGGGGCAGCTCCCGCTGCTGCGCACACCCCCAAGGGCAGGCATGGGGGAACACATGACCCTCAAATCTGTGCACAGGGCAAAAACGGGCTGCTATTGTGCGCACAGGGCTGGAGGCTGCACTTAGGCCAGGCAGGGCAGGCGATGGCAGCACTGGAAGGGCAGGTACTGGGGGGGGGGGCTACAGCAAATCTTGGGGTGTCTCTAGGCCCTCTACACCCCCAGTCCTAGTGCCACCACTGCCTGCCCTACCCCAAGCACAGCCACTGGGAAGAGAATGGTATAGCCCCTGGCCCACCCTCATCTCACAAACAGATCCAGGGGGCATATGCCCCCCCTGCCTGCCCCGGGGGTTCACACAGTGACAGGAGCTGCCCCCATACACCTTCTGGACAAGCTGCCAGCTCCATCCTGTGCCCCACCCCACCTGTGCAGCACCTGCCTCTGCCCCTGCCCTAGCCCCAGCTCCACTCCCTCCCTCACTGTGGGGGCCTCAATCCCCCCATCCCTCCTAAATGCCTCTTGCCCCCATCAGACTTACCAGCCAGACAGTGCTCTTCAAGCTGTTGGGCTGCATATCAGCAATTGGATTGGTATCAGTCAATATGGCTGGTCAATAATCGGCTATCAATAACGGCCCAAAAAATCTTTATCAGTACACCCCTAGCAAGAACCCAGGATTTTTGTGGGTGAGATCTAGAATTGGCCCAGCTGCACAGTTGTGCTAGACTTAGACAAACTTTCAAATGCAATGCATTCTTCTTCAAGTCAGAAGGGAATGCAGGCACAGCACAAGATTAAAACATTTGCAAAAATATGAAAGAGAGAGAAGAGGATTCCCAGGAATTTAAGGGACAGCAGACAAGTAAAATCACATAAGGAAGGATGGCCAGATTTGTGGAAGATGAAGACCTGTGAGAAGTGAAGACAGTTGGTATCATCTGTAGTGTGAAGAAAGGTTACCTGGAGTCAGGTAATAGCAGTATGTTATACACATAGACTATCTATTGCTTTTAATTTTATGTACGTTTTGCACTGCCTTAAGCTCTATTTTGTATTGTTCTGCAGCTTGACATAAGTGTTAGACCTCTGTATGTTCTATGGGAGAGAAGGGGTGAAAGTCTGTCTGTGGAAAAGGGAAAACATCAGCTAGCGACTGACTGAAAAATGCAGACAGATAAAACACTAAACAGGAAGAATCCTCTCCAGAACACCAAAAGAACAATGGCAGTTGACCTTCAAGAAAGAACACAGTGATAACACAGCAAAAGCCCAGAGGACTGGGTGAATTGACAAGGCTATAGAAGATTGGGCAAGACGTATCGATTTTTGTGTCTTGTTCTGCATGTCATCCTGGAGCACTGCTTCTTCTGACAAGATGGATCATCAGGAGCCCAGCTCCTACTCATGATCAATTTGGCTGGCCACTAAGCTGATCTGAGTCCTGATAAGACTGGTAATGTATACCAGCGCAAAACAGAAATTGGGGTATGAATGTAGTATATGCATGTGCATTAAGTGCTTAAGAAATGCTGCATCTTGCCCTATCCTCCCCCATAAGGTCTTGCTTGTGATTTGAGCAGTTGGCAATTTGTTGAACCCTTGGTTCTGAAGGACTTGGGGGTGGGGCAGAAGGGGTGGAAAGGAGGCATTTTTTTAGGGCCTTCTTGCAGGGACAGTTAACACAAGTTAAAGTGAGCACACGTTCTGAACAGTCACACAATAATTCTTACTGAAATCTTATAACATGGACAGATCTGGCCCATGAGACTCATTGCTGTGGCTGCTGGAGCCCCTGCGATGGCAGTGTATATCCCCTCCATTTTGGCATGGCTGCTGAAACCAGGAATTGAACACTGCACCTGGCACCAGTCGGAGCTTTTAGTCACCCCCAGACTAAAATCAGCAGAACTGGGGGGGGACAAGAAGCAGCAGTATTAGGTTCCTGGATTAAGGAGCTGTACCAATACAACACCTCAGGCAGCCAGAGATTAATGCCATGGGCTTGTGAGCGGAATCCAGTCTGTGAGAAGCCCAGGAGCCTGTGCTTAATTAGTCATTATTATTTGTCCAAAGGAATCTGTAACACATCACTAGTGGTCCCCAACACTAAGGGGGGCTTATACCTCCCGTGGTGGGCCTGGTCCCCTCAGGACCAAACACAGGCATGAGTGAACTAAGCAGCTGCCCCTGGGGCCCAGACAGAAAGGAGGCCCCCAACATGTTAATTCTTTTATAATTGTCATTATCTCTGGTGAAGATGAGCCTGATACTAAAAGTTCACCATGAGGCCACTAGGAGTCTAGGTATGGCGCCACCTCCCCGATGTGTGAAAAGGCCTGTGCCTATCTAGTGAGGGGAGCAGTATGTGCAGAGGAAAGAAAGCAAGTAGCACCTGAGCCAAGCATCCTCCACTGCACAGTCCTTCACAAAACAAAACAAAAAAAAGCCACAGGCTTTGCCAGCCACTCCCAGCCAGAGAAAAACAAGAGGTTTTCCAGCAAGGCAGTTCCTCCAGCTCACGCTGAAAAAAGTATAACAACATCCTAACAAGAAAGCAGCATTATTCAGTATCCTGCTTGCCCCCTGACACCTCTGAGGTAAACAGATTGCTCCAACTTTTATCCGAGCCTAATTTGCATTAAATGATAAATGAACTTTTCCAGCCAAGAGATCTCACACCACTCACCTGTGAAAATTGAATTTACAGTTCTACTTGGGAGAAATTTTACAATCTTTGCATTCTCCTTCACCTGAGGAAGAGAGCCCGTGGCTGAAAGCATGCAAATAAAGAGAAAACTTTTTTTGCAGCTGTCTAGTTGTGCCTCTAGCACACTGACTAATAATAATCAAGAGAGGTGCATCATTAACAGCGACCGGCCTCGGAAACGGTTAGAAAAGAATTTAGAAGCCTTTCTGCACGGAATTGTTTCCTCAACCTAAAACTCCAGTAAACCAGAGCCCGGGGCGGGGCGTCCCTGCCGCGGGGCTGCGCTAGGAGCCCCTCCGCGCGGACCCCTAGGGCAGGTCCCCCAACAACACACCGGCCCGCCCTGAGAAGGGCCTCGCCCCCCACCCCCAGACAGAGGCCAAGACGCCGCCACCGCCCCCGCTCGTGCAGCCTCGCCCCGGCAGCTCCGCACCCACCGCCTTCCCGACAGAACCCGCCGGCCTCGCGTCACCGCAACTGCTCGGCCGAGGGGCTTCGCCGCGATGCATCCTGGAGGCCGAAGGCGCTCCCCCCACCCCGGTGTCCCGGCCGCGATGCACGCTGGGAGGTGTAGTTTGTTGTTTTTTCCTGCCGGCGGCCGCAGTGCACTCTGGGAGGTGTAGCTTCCCTGGGGGCGGACGCGGTGCACGCTGGGAGGTGTAGTTTCCCCGGCTAGCCGCGGGGGCTTCTGTCTTTCCTGCGGCTGCGCCTCGCAATGCTCGCCCCACCCCTATACACCCGCCCCGCGCTGAGGAGGCTGCGGCTGCGGCCCCCGCTGGCGGTGCTGCCCGTGGAGAAGATGGCGGCGGCGGCGGCAGAGGCAGCGCTGCCACCTGATCAGGCAGAGCCGGAGGAGGACGAGGAGGAGGAGGAGGAAGAGGACGGGGATGAGGAGGAAGAGGAGGAGGAGGAGGCCGGAGAGATGAGTAAGGCTCCTGGTGGGGCGGAGGGCGTTGCGCTGAGGGGGGTCCCCGGCGCTGGGGGGGGGCCAGGCCTGCAGTGGCGCTGCCCTCGCTCGGGCCATCTCCGTGTTCAGCCTTGCGTCCTGCGGGCGGACAGGTGCCACCTCGCCCGCGGGTCCCAAGGGCGGTCCCTAGGGTTTCCTCGGCCGCCGCCTCCTCCCGCCCTCTGCCTCCCGCGCGTCCTGTCGCCCGGCTGAGGCGAGCTGCTGCTCGGGAGCCTGGTGCTGCGTCGCTACCCCTCTCTGTCGTCTGACAGGCACAGATGGGGATCTTCCTTGGTTAGTCCTGGGTCCAAATGCACCCCGTCTGCCTGAGTCAGAGTCTGTCCCAGGGAAGACAGTCCCATTGGCTGGACGTCTCAAGACTGCCGAGGAGCAGCAGCAGTGTCCAGAGCCTCTGACTCCACTTCTCTCCCTGCACCCTGCCAGTGACAGACCGCCATCCACGCTGAGTGGAAATCTGTTTTCTGAGCATGCTGTCCTCATGCTCCTGACCCTGTGTAGCACAGGGAAGAGGCATCAAACTCATCCAGCCCCATGGGCCAGATAAGACTCTGCAGACCAAATCGGGACTGTGGGCCAGATGCGAGTCTGCGGGCCAGATCAGGACTGCGAGCAGTGCATGCAGCACCCAGGCTGGACCCTGTACAGCGTGTTGCACCAAGGGGCTGTCCAGGGCACGGGCTGTATGTTTGACACATCTGGCATGGAAATTTGACCCAGGATGTTCTGCTCACTTGTGCTTTAACCAGTCTGGTGGAAACTGATTTCTCCCTACTTTGGTACAAACCTGCACCAGGAAATAAATGTATCCCACCATGCAGTGCCATACATTTCACAGCACGTGGCCAGCATCCTGATATTCTTAGCTTTTCCCAAAAATGGTGCTTTTTGTACTCTCACTCGTAGCTACCATGCCGTTTCTTTCCTTATTTATGGTTGAAGACACAGAGCATACATAAGACAAACAGAATGCAAGGTAGCAGGGCCAAGCATTCCTTTCTGTTCTCCTGCTACAGGCACAATCAGAAATTTAATCTTTTTTCATGTTTGTTCTCCTTAAGATCTTTGTAAATCTGGATTTCCTTTGTCAAAGCCAAGGAAGACTGTCTCATTGGTTGAAGTTCTTAAGTCAGCCATTTGGTGGATTCTCTGCTCTGTCTCTCTCTAAAGTTCCCTCTTTAATCATTGTATTTCCAGTTTAACTTTTATAAAATACCTTTGTCTAAATTCAGAGGTATGCACCTGAGATTTAAATACATGAACTTACTTACATAACATAAATAAAATGATTCCTTTCTCCTTAAAGTCCTTTTTATATATGTTAGGGTCTGTCATTAATTTTATTTGGTCTTCCTTGCATAAGTTGTTCAGGAATTCTTAACATTCTTTCTGTGAATTTGTTGTAATCTTTTATTTTCCTGCCCTTGGTTTATCTTGGGTGCCTTTTTTTTTTTTTAAATTAAACATCCTACTTAAATTCTAGTTCTTAAATCTTACCTCACGACATATAAAAATAAGCATCTTTTAACATCTTAGTTTGTAGTATCTTTTTGTATATTTTTTACTGTCATAACCTGTACCTTGGGTCCTTCAGAATAAATTGTTCAGCCTCAGACATGCTTCATATGGTTCTAATAATATTTTTAACAAATTCTTCCTCTCTTCTCCTTTGTTCCCTCTATTTTTGTTTAGTTCATAAGCTATATAAAAATGTATACCTAAACAGCTGGGCAGTGTTTCTCTATCTGAACTCTGTACTACCAAAAGTGGAACATAACTTGCTGGTTATCCAGCTACTTTTAAGCTAGGAAATGATTGTTTGTCCTTTGCTCCTCTCCCATCAAACTGAAATTTTTGGTTTCCATCTCCAAATCAATCCTTCTCTTTATATCTCTAGGCTGTTATATTTTGCACTCTAAGCCATTTAGCTATTTATGTTGAATTGCAGTTTTTAAAAATGCATTTTCTAAACTTTGTCAGATACTATTTTGAAATTTGTCTGTGGTTTTGAATAACTCATCTTTATATCAAGTTTTTATGTTTTCATTTCCAATGCACATTTTTTGTGTCTTGCCTGAAAGCAAGTTGATGTAATCGTCAGGGGTATTGTCTTTGCTCTGCTTTACGTAAAGACACACCCCAAAAGAACAAGTTCAAACATATATGTGTTTTCCTTTAGGGTTCTGAACATGGTGAAAATATTAAGAAGTAAGGAGTAAATCAAAGGGATCCCTATTTACAACAGATGTTTTTCCTTTTTCTGGACTATTTTGTAATTTCTATCTTAAAGTGGCAGAAAAGAGAGAAAAATTGTTTCCAGGTTAGAGGATTTTTGCCTAGATCCTTCTAGTGAAAGTTCTCAGTCCAAAATAGTCATTCTGCTTTTCCAGGTTTCACTTAGTGCCCTGTAGTAGTTTTGTAACATACTACTAATCAAAGGAAAATCATTTAATTTTTTTGACAAGGTAAGGTGTGTAAGGTATAATTAGTATCTTGTTAATATTTGCTCTCTTGACCCTGTTAAGAGTTTGTGTGCACATTTTTCTGCCTGGGGTGATGCATTTTCATGGTGGTTTTGCAAGAGTGAGCTGTAGTCACCCTGAAATTATTCTCTGATTTGCTGAGTAAACAGTTTGTCTTTTCAAAGCGACTTCCATCCCTCTTGCATGATAGGAAGCAGTGAATGCTTGGAAACTGAATGATTCCATACAACTAAAATGTTATATAAACAAAGCTGATTTTTTTTTTGTCTTGTTCTTTTTTTTAGATGGATTGGTTGTCTCTGGAAAAATGGATGGCAGCAAGTTAGATGTGGAAGTGTCTGAGCCAGAAATCAAAGACAAAGTAGTAGAACAAGAGCCATTAAGGGAATCTGACAATAGCATTTTGGACGCATCTTCCGATTCTCCAAGAGGTTTGCTAATAAACTACAGAAACATCTGCACTCTACGGGAGGGAGAAAGGTTGCAAAATATCAATCATAGTATATGGTATACAAGAAAACCTTTTATACCCCAGATTTAAAATACGTCTTTTAATTGATATGCCATTTCCCCTCCCCCAATATCAACACTTCTAGAATTCCTTCTGAGATTCCTCCCAACATATAGTAAATTATGCTGTTGGATGAAGTAGGATCTGCATCCATCTTTGTAAGTGCCACTTCTCTACTCTTTCAGTGCAGATAAATGATACTGAATGGAGAAGGTCATTGCATCTCAGCAGAGGATTAGCAGCTAGGAAATCCTGAATTGTAAAACCAGTTTTGCTAGAGGCAAGGATTTCTTAGTGTGATCTTTTATTGGACTACCTCTGTAGTTGGGAAAAGGTTAGACAAGGACAAAGCCTTTTAATCTGGGATCCTACAGACACGCAAGCCCATTGTCCAACATTAAGTACTTTTGAAGTATCTGAGAGAACATTTTTTTTCAAAACAATTGGGAGTGGGGCTGGTTTGAGGGAGAGTAAAGACAGATGGGGCTACACGTAGTGGATCAGCTATGGAGGGAGTTTTATTAGAAAAATATAGGTTGCACATTGACCCATATCAGGCAGTGGTCTGATGTGGGACAACAGGCTATGTTTTCTTCTTGCCTGGGGATTTCTTGCATCCCTTGCTACCCTATGTTTTCTTGCCAGGATGAATGGGGAGCATGTGGCCCAGGAAATCCCCAGTGTGCCATGTCTTCGTGCTGGGATCTGTGCTGACCCATGCCTTCATGTGAAGCAGGGGTTGCTGTGGATCCAAGCAAGGAGGTGCAGGGTTGCATTGGGATCTGGGGAATGCCCAGCATGGAGAGAATTTTTATGATGGCACAAATGCCATGTCAAGCAACATCTGTTTCTAACTTCAGGTGTAAATGCACCTGTTCTTGATGTAATTCAGAGTCTGGGTACAGTCAGACCTGTGATAAACCCAACCTCTGTTTCTACCCTAATAGTTGCTTTAATATTGAGAAGAAGTAATCATTTCAGGGTTATTGTAGGAGCCTTGAAATTTATGGCCTCTAGTCTGTTTTACCAATTATGCAGTAAAAACAGTGGTTCTCAACTTTTCTAGACTCAAGACACCCCTCACAAACTGCTAGTTATTAGTTTTCACTTACTTCTTGACTAGAGAAAAGTAATAGAGCAGTTCTTCTGATGCAAAGAACTTAAAAAGACCACATTGGGGCAGAATGTTTTTAGTGCTACAAATTTATATTTGAAATCTCTGAGTTTATCTTATGAATCATGTTTGCACATGTAGCAGTGCTAACGTTATGTAACATCCCATGGCACCCTTGAAAGGATCACAAGGCACCCCAGGGTGCTGTGGCATCCTGGTTGAGAATCACAGATCACTGATTCAAGGAGAGTATGGACCCCTTCCCCTGCCCAGTTCCCCCCAACCCTAGAATAGGTGAAGTGTACACAGATTCTGAAGTGTCAGGTTTGTAATAATAACTTTGCCTTGTAATAGTATGGAACAGATACACTTACAGTGTTCTTGGTTGTCAAACAAGTCATAGGGCAGCTTTGCATAGATATAGTGATTTCACTTTCTGAAAAGGCATCAACAAAGAGTAAAAACAAATATGCTAGAAATTTAGGTAAGTTTAGAAATTGAGAAGTTCTTCAACTTGTGGTTTTGAACACTTACTTTAAAAAGCAAAAATAGAAAAATATGCAACAATTCAGGAAACAAATACAGAAGATTAATACTGACACAAATTATTCCTTTCTGACAAGAACACTTTATAATTGAAAGATGAAAAATGCAAAGTATTTTTCTAGTTGGCACTGGAGTCTCTCAGCTAACATCAGAATTGAAGTGTCAAACAAGAACAATATAAAATGGAGATTAAATTACAGCCATTTTGAAGCATTTTTTAACTTGAATAATCTGTCTTTTTTAGAGAAGCATATTTCAATTCAAAGACAGCTTGCTGATCTAGAAAAACTAGCTGATCTGAGTGAGGGTGAGTTTGCTTCAGCTGTATCCCCGAACACAGATCTTCAAGTTGGAGGTATTTAAAATTTATCTCTTGATTTTGATTTGTTTTTTTTAACATTGCCAGATATATTTCTGTTGTCTTAATTGTTTATGAAACTTCAGGTTTAGGAAGCTTCATTTAAAAAAAAAAATGTGCTCAGTTATGATATCCCCATATTGAGAAACATAATTTCCACTCTGTACAGTCTGGTATACTAAAGGCCCTAACAATTCTGTTTTTCTCCTCTCTGTCAGTACAGTATGATTATTCATGTCAACCGTGTGCATTGTTTAGGAACTGGTGTTAACCACTAGTTGTAGGCCAACAGGATTAACTCTCCTTATTTTCTGGTGTTGTGCTAGATGGGTGGCTAATTTATTTTGGCACATATGTACATACATTATTTTAAATAAAGACAACATGCAGTATTTATTTACGATCTGGTTTGCCTGAAATCATTTTATTTAGCACTTTTACCTCTGGTAAACCAAAATGACCCAAAAATGTTGGAGGTTTTGAATGGCGGGTAAGTGTGTATGTGTGTGTATGAAAAAATTGTGGAGTTTGAGAGAGAGAGAGAGACAGATGGGGTTGTTTTGCTTTGTTTTGTTTTTAATAAAAAAAGACCATAAAGAATAATGGGACTACTAAAACAAAGACTTTCAAAATATTTCTTTGGGGTCCCTCCTGGTCTCAATAGTTTTCATTTTTCTTGTGCTCAGTCTGCATATAGTTGTTTTCCTCTTCCTCTTAACTGCCTGAACCTCAGCCCTGAGATTCAAGAATTTATTTTTTTCTGACTGTCAAGCTAAGTTCAAGATGTTCTTGGTTAGGTATGTCATAAAAAATCTAGCTTATTCTCTGAAGTGGTATTGACTTCACGTGGCTCATGCATTCAAAAAATACTGTTAGTCAGTAACTAAGTATGCTTCTGACTATGCAAGAAAGATCAGTTGTACAAGAAGGAGCAATTATACATAATTGCTTTTATGAACCCAACCTTACTTTGCTACAAGTTTCCCTTGCTTTATGCGGGTTCTGTATGTGCGGATTTGCTCTTATGTGATGACCCTTTTTACAACAAAAATTTGTTATATATGAGGTAAATTCACTCTTATGCAATTGGTGTGGTGGAAGCCTGCAGTCAGCTGCTTTGTGTGGTGCATTGTAGGAGTGACACGCACCAAAATATAGTCTCCTGTGTGGATCTGTGCTCCTTGCTCATTGTCTGCAACATGTGTTTCTCTAGTTGCCATCCTCATTATGGCTTCTAAGTGACCCACTAACTTATCTCCTCCAGCTGTCTGCTGTTGGTGAGTACCAAAATTGTCTTGTAAAAGTGGTAGAAACGGGGGGGTCAGTACAGTCGAGGTCTTGGAACATATCCCTATTTGTTACATTGTAAAGTGGGTACCCTTTATGTGAATTGGAGTTGTGCACCGTTTTCCAGGAATGCAAGTACAGCATAAAGCAAGGGAAACCTGCATGTTACTGTTTGAGGAAATTGGTCAAGTGTGGTTTGGGTTGAAATAGAATTATCATTTGTATTGGGGAGCACCCAGAGACCCAGTCATGGATCAAGAGATCTGTTGGATCATCACTTTTGCAATACATAAGAAAAAGATGTAATCCCCATTACACAGAATTTAAAATATTACTATAAAGCAAGAGATAATACATGGATAAGGGGAGCATCTTGAATAAAGCAAGAATTGGAAACTATTTTGACTATTTTAAAGGCAGATACAATATCCACGGGAATGACTTACTGTGTTCTGCATTTAAATTAGGGATATAAATTGTTAAATGACAGTTGTATTTATACTGTTTACTGCTTACTGTTTACTAACCTCCAGCAGCAGGGTCTCTAGCCCCTTATGTCTTCACTGTGCACCCGGCGTTGTGTGGACCCCAGGTCACTGTCAGGGAGCCATTCGTGGGGGGGTGGCTGGCATGGCCAGGCCACTAGGCGGTGCTGCCCAACTGTCCATCCACTGGATGAGGCTGCGGCTACAGACCTCTCCTATGCCTGGATCACATCGCCACATCCTTCCCACCACAGCAGCGAGACTCCCAGCCCTGTGGTCATCCAGTCCCAGCGGGACAGCCTTCCTCGGGCACACTGCGTTCGTTCCCCTCCCACCCATGGCACTGGGGCCATGTGGGGCCTGGCCCAGCCTTGAGGCAGAGATAAGTGTGCAGCTAGCTCAGCCTAAGGAGGTGCTGCAGCAGGCAACACTGAGTCTGAGGGGTTGTGCACCAGCCCCTTCTTGTGTGGTGAGCATGGCCTTGAGGTGTTCCTGTGGCACCCCAGTAGCTCTAGCTTGGGAGGCTACCTGTTATAGCTGTAATGCTTCCCCAGGATCCTGGCTGCACCGCTTTGCTGCACCGCTGCCCCTGAGGATGACCCTAGGGCTGCAGTCGCTGTGCAAGGGGCTGGTGGCGAGCCCTCAAACCTGGTGTCGCCTGCTTCAGCTGCCACAGTGCCTTTTCAGTCCAAGCCAGCCGCACACTCAGCCCCACTTTAGGGCTGGGCCAGACCCTACACAGCCCCAGTGCCACAGGCAGGAGAGGGAAGAATAAGCATGCCTGGCAAGGACTGGGGCTGCTCCCCCTTCCTCCCCCCGCCTTTCCCTGGGCTGAGCTGGGGAGGGCCCAGCCCGCAACATGGACAAGCTTTCTGGGTCTGGGCCGTGGTGGCACAAGCACAGTGGGAGGCGCAGGGAGCCTATTGGCTGAGGCCTGCCACTTTGCAGAGGGGGCTGGGCAGACCCACTGGGGGCCTGGGAGTCTCTCTGCTATGGTGAGAAGGCCCCGCCCAACTCCTGTGGTGGGGCCTGGCGCTTCCTTCTCCATGGCAGCGGGATCTGGGGACAGAAGAGGTCCGCAGCCTTAGCCCTATCTGCAGCCCCAGCCCTAGCTCCTTCCCCTGAGAACAAGGGGAAGGTTTCCCTGCTGGGCAGCACTCTCTAGTGGCTTGACTATGCCCACAGCTCCCAACCTGTGCAGCAGCAGGTGCACACTGAAGGCATAAGAGGCCAGGGCCATTCTTGCTGGAGGTCACTAAACTAGGTATGTGCTATTGGTTAATATAACACAATATATTAGTAATATATACTAGTACATATTTGAGACAAAACAGAAGCTGCTCAAGTATATGGTAAGTGCAATTTTAGCTGTTTTGTTCTTTAATTCTGTTGTGGCCTGAACTTTATGCAGCCGAGACTAGGTTCTCAAGCCACATCAACTGTATGCACAACCTACACTTGAACACACAAACGAGTTACTTACTTGTATAATAATTGGAATTAGAGAAGTGCTGACATTGTACATAAATAGAGTACATATGCACCAAACAATAAAAAATACAAAGGGGTAACCACAAAGAATACCAACTTGCCCCATATCTGGTTCTAGTCACATATATATACACATATACTGCTGCATCATAGTAGATTAAGCTACATAAATCTAGGTTACATTTAAACTAGGGATGTAAACATCATTTAAAAAATATCCATTTAACCTCCCCTAATTATATCAGTTAAATATATACATATACGTAAGTAACTTCTGTTTTGTTTCAAATATGTATTAGTAGCATTTAGTAACAGGAATATTGACAAACCTACTCTCTTTTGATCATACAGGTGTTGGGTTTCATGTATTTCTTCTTTCTGTTTGCATTTTTAGCTGGAAAGAAGCCTTGCCCTCTATGTCCTGAAGACAAATTTAAAGCTTGCTATAGCCATAAGCTCCATCGCCACCTTCAAAATTTGCACTGGAAAGTTTCTGTTGAATTTGAAGGTAAAGACTTCTATTCTTGAATAGATTTCCTGATTCTAGAGCATACTGCATAGCTCCAAGTACCAGTTACAATTATGCAAGGGTGAAGCCTCTAGTTCTTCAGTCTTTATGCCTTTAAATCCAGTGGGAGTTGCATCAACATAAATGTCCTACTCCTAAATAAAAGCACACTCATGGCATTTTGGTTGAACTACCTTTATCCGCTTCAGATTTAGTATTTGTAGTACAAGCCAGAATAAATATGTTTGATTTCTTCACCAATTTTAAAGTTGTATTTTGATGTTAAAATAAGTAAATATTTAGTGGCATTTCTCATTCATAGTAGTTTGTTCACATAATTTAACCCAGTTTTCAAAAAATAAATGTCTTTATAAAATGCAGCGCTCTAATACTGCATGAACACTCAGGTGTTACCACAAAACTTTGTAGTGTAAGGAAGCAATAGCAAGTTTAGGTATAGGGCATAAATGACAATGAAAGTACATAACTCCCTGTTTTCTTTTGCACACTTAAAATTATTTTAATAAAGCATTTTCTAATAGAAATTAACTTCACCGTGTCATAAAAAACAGTTATAAATTCACAAATGCAAACACTTGAAAACTTTTGGTATTCTTAGCTAAAAGTTTTTTAGGCCATTTTTTAAAATTTTCATTGGTTCACTTGCCTTCTGATCGGCCTGCATTGCCGAAGATTTTACTGGAGAGGGGTAAATTTCATATATTTCTATATTCCAAAGCCATGTGTAGTATATAAGCAGAGTGCCATAATACATCTTAGAAACAAATTATCAAAGTCCAATAGTAGCTAGTAAAGAAAAGAAAAGCACACTGAAAACAACAAAGAAAAAGTGCATAGTCTATTTTTATTGTCAAGGGAGAGTAAAGTCAGGAATAAAAGTAAAAGGTTTATAGGGAGATATGGGTTTTTTAAATTTATTAAACAGAAATATGATATTTCATGCAGTACCCATGTTTTCCTTTCAGGGGAAGTTGTGCTGTCTTCTGTAGAGTTTATAGTCCATTTATTTTTCACTTGACTAATAAGCTGCAGATATTAAACAGTGTGTGGGGGTCCCCACTTTTCCTCCCACACCTACACTCTGCCCATCCAAGGTCTGCGCTCCCACTGCCCCCCTGAATGCAGGGTTCTGACTCTCACCAGCCCTAGCCCCATGCTCCTCACTCAACTGCAGCTCCCACCTGCAGCCCCCACCACTTCACCACCACTACTTCCCTACCTGTTGTCCAGAGCAAGCGGGATGCTGGGGAAGATGAGCATGTTTCCCAGCAGCTACAGTAGTGGCAGCAGCAGCCCTTCCTGGAAGCTGCATGATGGCCAGGCCCTTCCACCCACAAGGGTGAGAGCCAGGCTAGGGCTGGGCAGGGTACAGTTAGTTGGTGGGCACCCACAGGCCAGATGAAATTGCCTGGCAGGCCAGATTCAGCCCATGTGCCATATTTTGGCCACCCCTGTGCTAGGCAGCGTACTGTGGGACCATAAGCCAGATACCATATTCTGTCACACATTTCCCATACCTTTCACTCAAAACCAGCTGGGGAAAATGGGGTACACATTGTGCAAAGAAAAAGGCTGCCCATGGGTCTGGAAATTAGGGGTGAGAGGTGGATTGGTGGCAGCATTAATTCTTGCCATTCCAGGAGCCACAGCAATTGATACTGCCATGACTCCCTCCTCCCCTCACCCTCCTGCTGCCATGTTTCCATACCGGTGGGGGCCACCCCTGCAGCCTCTACAACCACGTGCAAGATCAGAAATGCTAACAGGACTGGTCTGAAGCAGGACCTGGCATGCTGGGTTGGACCCAACACATGGTTCCCGTGCCAGTGCGCTGTCCTGGACTTGGGAGCACAGATCTGGAGACAGTGTGCAGGGTTGGACCCAGCATGCAGCCTCAGCCTTGCCACACTACATTGGGCCCTGTTGTGTTGCTCTGGCATGGTGTATTGGGCTGTGGTGCATGGCTTCTAGCCCCAGAGACCCCAGACTTGTGGTAGTTACTCCTGCTTCAAAGAAAGATTCCTTTTCCTTCCTGGGGCCTTCCAAAAATAGGGTCCATATTATATTTGGGGGCATGTTATATGCTAGAAAACATGGTAATCACTTTTTTTTGTAACAAAAATGTACTTGTTTTCCAGGATACAGAATGTGCATCTGTCATTTACCGTGTCGCCCTGTGAAGCCAAATCTCATTGGAGACCAGGTAACCAGTGCTGGATCGCAGAAATGTTCATTGTTCCATCAAAGAAGAGAAATTCAGATAATATTTTTTGAAGTGTTTTAGTTAAGTCTTCAAGTGTAGGTGGCTTGTTGTTATGGGATATGGAAACCCTAACAGTGACCTATTTGGATTCAGTCCATACTTGTAGGTGGTCAGAAAATGGTTCACATTTTGGATTGATAAAGCAATATTGTTTACAGTCATAGAAAACTGTATCCATTCATAACTATGAATGGACTGTCTCCACCTCCTGAAAATGGCGTCTCAGGTCAAGTTGATGCAGGATTCTGTGGGCAAGTCTACATAAGATGCTACTGCGCAGTCGTTACTGCTCATTTATTTAGCACTTGTATTAACAAGTGCTAAATAAATGCACAATAACCAGAGCTGCTGCTCAGTAGTGCTGGAGAATGTCTTTTAGGTGACACTACTGCGCAGTCGCCTAATAATACTGTACAGTAGCTTGTTATCGCTGTCTGTGCTGTAATGCGCTACTGTGCAGTATTTTTTGGCAACTGCGCAGTTAGCATCTTATGTAGACATGCCCTGAATGTTGAAAATTTCTCATGTATACTTTTTATTGGATAAACTGATTTCAATCTCCATTACTGTTGGTTCAAAAAACAAAGTTCATGTGTCTGTATTTTTGTGTTTTAATATGAAACACTTTATTCAGGTTTAATTCCAATTCAGGTCTCTTGCTATATTTTAAAATTACACTTGATGCATTTTATAGACCTCTGTGAAGATGGGAGCCCATTATCACTGTATTATTTGTTCAGCAACTATCACACGAAGGACTGACATGATAGGGCATATTAAGCGTCATGTGAACAAAGGAGAAACTGAATCCAGGTACATTGCAGGTAGGTTATTTAATATTTTTGCCTTTGGATCCTTGACACCATGCATTACATGTTACAACTGGAATATATGGCAGAAACTGTCTTTGAAGGTTGAAGATTTTTTGCCTGGAGAACTCAAAAGGCTGGGATGCTGGGTTTCTGATGCTTTTCCTCACTCTACATACTCACACTGTCCTTGCTGATAAATAACATCAGCATTTTGAAACTAACCTGAATAATTATGAAAGAAAACTGGCATGGCTAATTTTATGCCAGCCTAGTTTGGGAGTTGCTTTTCACTTTTATAGCAGTTTTTAAAATGTAAATTCAACTACCTACTTTCCTATGAACTTACCAACAGAATGCCAAAAATTATTCATTATGTTTGTTCAAAGTGCTTAAACATGGATTATTGAAACCAGATGACTGTTTTCAGTTTTTACAGAAACTTGCTAAAGGTGTAGATCAGTGGTTCTCAATCTGCTTAGACTCGAGGCACTTCTCGGAAAATTACAGCTTTTCATTTTCCCACCTTTCTTGACTACGGAAAAATAATACAGCAATTCTTCTGTTGCAAAGTACTTAGACAACTGGTCAGAATATTTTTAACACTGGATTCCTATTTGAAATTTCTGGGTGCATCTACACATGCTTTATTGTGGAGTTGACTAATTAGCTAAGCAGCAAAGCATCACTGTCTATACATGTGTATTAGGGCACAATCAATTAATGAATTCCACCCCAGGGCAGAGTTAAGTGTGACAAAATGCATGGTGACAGGGGCTGGCTGGCTGGTGCATAAGGGTGCTAACCTGCCCCCTAGCCACATGGTTCTGCAGGTTCTACACTCTCATGCCCCACAATTATTATTCTAACTGGAAGATGAGCACTGTTTTTTCCTGTGTTGCTCTTCTATTTTATACATGCTGTCCTCTCTCTCTTTCTCTCATGGTCATTTGAATTGCAAAATATTGGTCAATGTGAAAGTAAAGATGCTTGCTTTTGCTGCTTCTGCTGAAAAATTCATTCATAGATGCTAGGGTCAGAAGGGACCTCAACAGATGCCCCCTAGACAAATGACAGGAGCATCAGACAAGCACCAAATAAGCTGCGCGCAGTGGTGGGAGCCACAACCTGACAAGCCACAACTCCGTCCCGTGCCTGTCCCAGCCTGCAGCTGCAGCCTGCCCTGCGCCACACAGATTTGGGGCACATGCCCTCCCTTCCCCCCCAATGAGCTGCTTGCAGCTCTGTCCCATGCCCTTCCCCACTCCAGCTGGTCAGCATGTGCCCCAGCCCTATTCCCTCCCTCACCACAGGGGCCTTTATCCCCTTTCGCCCCCACTCCTTCCCTCCCCTTCCAGACTTACCAGCTGGATACAGCTCTTCAAGCTGAAGAGCTACATTTCGGAAATTAAATCAGTATTGCTCGATGTGCCTCCTTAAAAATCGGCTGTCAGTATCGGCCCCAAAAATCTCTATAAGTGCACCCCTATAGTTTATACTAGATATAAGTAGGTGCCAAAGTGACGCTCAGAATTGTGTTTGTGAAACACCTGTGTTAAAACCATGCGGTAGTTTCAAAAAAAGGTAACATCCATCAATTCTGGATAAACTAAGTCTATGGGTACAATATGCCATGGGTATAACGTGGCTACAGTCATGTTTAATTTCAAGGTTATTGTTTTCAGATTTGCTTCCCACTTCCATGTGCTCAGGGAGAGCAGGGTCTGACAGTAAGAGGAGGGAAGGGGCAGAGGCTGCCAGGGGAAAAAGTTGGGGGGAAGCAGAGAGCAAAGAGCTATTTTCCCTGCTATAGGAATGGCAGGTGAAAAATTCAAGGCAAACCTCCAATAATTAGATTCTATACCTAGAAAATTATAAGATGACCCCCCCCCCAATAAATAGATCTTATATATGGAAAATTTATAATTTTTTTATAAACTTAGTCATCTTTTATATGAGTAAATATTGTATAAGTACTGTAAGTGTTAGCCTTGATTTCTTCAGTTATTTTATTATCGATGGTGACTATTGTTCCTAAATATTTAAATTTCCCTACATTTTCCATATTGTGGACCTTTACAAAAGACCTGATGTCTTGAGCAAGATAGGGTGAGGACTATGAAATGTACAGGGCATATCACAAGAATCAATGAGACAAGGCATGTGAGGCAGATTGGAAGCTGAGGTGGAGGATATCAGATCTCAATGTAGACCAAGGCATCAGTGGGAAGATAACATAAACCAGGGGTAGGCAAAATGGCGAATCTGGCCAGCAGCCAGACTCCATTTCTCAGCTGTCCCTGCTCATGGCTGGGGCTGGTCTCCATGGAGACCCCAGCCACAGCTGGGAGGGGAAGCTCAAGTTTGGGGTTGTCATGGAGACCAACTGCTGCCAAGCTGGCAATGCACATGGCCAAGCGGGGCAGTGAGTGCACAAGCAGGAAATTGCAGCTCTGCCCCAGCTCCTTGCAAGCAGGGGATCGTGGCTCTGCTCCCAGCTCCCCTGCTTGTGTGCCCCTGCCCAGAGCGTGTGGGCTACAGATCATGGCTCTACCTTGGCTCCAGAGCAAGCTGGCCCCATCACAAGTTCTCAGCAGTCCTAGAGCAACCCCCTGCCCTGCTCTGCCATGTATGCTGCCAGCGCAGCTGCAGCTAGTCTCTGTGGCAGCCCCAGCCTTGAACTTTCCCACGCAGCTGCAGCTGAGGTCTCCATGGAGACTGGCCCCAGCCATGCGCTGGGAAATGGAGTCCACTGCCAACCAGATCCAGCCCACAGTCCGGACTTTTCCCATCCCTGACATAAGCTGATTCGGAAGAGATAGACGAAGATGCAACAAGGTGGAAGGAGATGTTTAAGTGTGCAAAACAAAACACCTCCCTTCAGTTACACTCCATTCAAAATAGTACGTTTGCAAATCCAAAGGGTATGCCATCCCTTTAGAAGAGGAATAATTAGAATTGACTGTCAAACAGAAATGGAAGTCTTCTAGCTCTTGAACCGACTTGAATCCCTGAGGGATTATTTTATATGGAAAAGTACATGATGAATTATCACATGCTCGGTTGTATTCTTTGCCCTGAAGCTAGACTTGTTTATAGCATCTCTTTTTCTTCATATTGAATAAATCTGAAAGGAATGTCTTTCTTAGGAGAAAATTTAGTAGCCTTGATGTATGATGGCTTTGGCGTTTTACAGGAGATAAATTGTATAGAATTTGCCCAAAAGTCTGCCAGGGTTAACATATTGTGGTAGTCTTTTCTGACACAGAATATTAACAAGCTGGCCTCTGCATGTTAAAAGGATTATTGGGTGCTTACAGACATGGGAAAAAACAAACAGCACTTTATTTTCAGGTTGGTGTGCCCCCACGCTGAGTGCAGGACTTGACCAGAAGAGGAACTGTGTCAGTCTGACTCAGCTCATCCAGCATGTATAAAGCTCATACAGATGCTGGGGAGCCCAGTCAAACTGATGTGATTCCTCTTCCGGTAAAGCCTGGTTTATTTTTGGTTTGGTTTGGTTTGGTTTGGTTTTTACCACGTCTGTCAGTAGCCATCATGTTTGGCATCGGTGGGATTTGGGCCCTAACTATTTGTGAGCTGTCTGTTTGTTTCATAAAATTAAAATTATTAATTAAAATTCTAATTAACTCTTCTTTCTCCACAAAATACTTTTAGCCCCTGCTCCTAAGTCTTCTCTTGAAGTGCTGAAAGAAGCAGACACAGATGTACAAGTTCTTCCTAACTACTCCACACCTCAGAAAACAGATTCCTATTTTAATCCCAAAATGAAACTTAACAGGTGAGAAGGCACGGGAGGCTGAGAGACTGCAGTGAAATTGCTCTCACTTGAAAAAAAAATCCCATTAAACAGCCCACTATGATATTCAGAGGAATAACATTTTAAAAACAATATAGTAATACACCCAGAATAGGAAGGTTCCATTTTGATCCTTTTTCTAGTGTTGTTCTCTAAACTAGGTTTATATATCTATAGAAGGTACATATTTTGTGTGTGTGTGTGTGTATAGATGTGTGTTTGTATGTATGGGGGGGGTGTGAGAGAGTACATAATCTACTTATATACACCCCCCTTCCTATATAGATGGGAAACTTTTCTGAACAAACAAAAATGGTCTTCCTAATAAAATACTTTACATACAAAATCTGGTGATGAAGACATGTTTATGCTTCTGAGGAAACAAAATGTTAATTTTTTGTGAAGCATAGTTTATGCAGAAGTGCAGGAATTTAGAAGTATACCAACAAACACAGTTAAACTTACCCAAAGCCTTCTTAACTAATTATTTCTGTGATTTATCATGAGCTCCCTGCACTAGACATCTCCTCCAGCATAGCTGAAAGAGACATAACCACATTTCTCACATTCTCGTGTCTTCTTTTTATTGGGTGCACTCTGTTGGGACAGATTTTATCCTCGCTCCTTTTAATGATATTAAAAAGGATGGAACAGGATATTACACCTTCCTTAGATAAGTCATAAAATATGCCTCTGCTGCAATCCAAAAGTATGATTCTTTTAATCCAGCGGTTCCCAACCTCAGGTCATGGCCCAAGTGAGGGTCATGGGGACCATGCTGGGAGCACCACACAAACGACGAGTTGCACCACGTCCTGGGAGCTCCCCCGGCCCCGGCCCACCACTGCACTTCGCTCCCAGCAGCAGGTCGTGGCAAAAAAAGGTTGGGAACCACTGTTTTAAAGCAACTAATCTGTTTACCCATAACTGAGTATCTATATTGGGTGAGAGCTCAACCCAGTCTTCCAGGACACCCTATGAGTTTTGTAGCCCACAATGAGGCTGCAGGTCACCAGCACTTTCGGTGTTTTTTGTATCTGGGTTAACTAATTAAAGCTAGATCTGGTATTTCTACACAGTGAAGTTTCACTGCCTTTTGGTCTTTATCATGGTCCTTCTACAGAAAAAACCCTGTCACAGATAAATGCGAGAGTATTTCTCAGTCTAGTTTATGAAGCTTATTAGCTATTTTCAACCTAGCAGGCTATTGCTAGCAGTGAACGATTTAAAAAAAATAAAAACAAACTGCAAGGAAGTTTTGGGTCATCTTTAATAGGGCAACATTAAATTCCCTAAAAAGCAGGACAAATACATGACATTTACTCTTGGCCATCAGTGCCATATATGACAGTGAGCATTGAAATCAAAATAACTAGCAAATTCTTGTCTTTTAAATCTCTCCTGATATATTAATTTGCTGGGCAAAGTGTGAAACTTTGTAGTATAGTGATGTTTTATGTCTCCATAGATGAATATTAAAGTATTTGGCTATAAAGTTACTGAATTAACTACAAATGCTGTTTTGTGTAACGGTTGTAAATTCTAACTAAGAAACTCTCAGAGATCTCTTAAACCCAGTTCTTGTAATTATAGCCCTAGAGAAAAAAGAAACAAGAAGATATGATAAAGTTTAGATCTTGCACTTATTATGATGATTTTTCATCTTCTAGGCAACTCATATTCTGTGCATTAGCTGTTTTGGCTGAAGAACGGAACCCCTTAGAGTGTTTGGATGCATTTGGGGCCACTGGTAAAGAAAATTTTGTAACCTCATTTTACTTGATACTAATACAATAAAAGTACATACTTAAAGAAAATCAGTCTATTGAAAAGTTCCCTTTGTATATCAAAGTACCTTAGGCCAGATACTGAGGTTTGTTCTTAGGCAGGCCACCATTAACTGCCACAAGAGTTACCTTGAGTTTAGGAGCTCAGGATTTGGCTCCAGGTAGATAAAAAGGACATAACTAATATTAAGCTTATGTTAAATACTCTTCCTAAGGAAAGTTTTACCATCTTAAAGTACCCAAAATACTATGAGTCTTTAACTTGATAAATTATACCCTAGGTTCTGTGTACTTTTTGATATTTCACTGCAAATTAATCCCAGCCCTTAAATTTTGCTTAAGAAAAGTTTCCAGTCATTCTGATTATAAAAGCTATCCAGAATATAAATTTAAAGCGATAAAATTTCCCTGGGTCTGTACACAGTCTGAAACAATAGATCCTAGAGGTGTGATATACCCTTGGGTATCAGTTGGATATTAGTTCTAAACCTAAAGATGACATTTTAAATGAAACATTGACTGTTGAGTATTTTAGCAGACAGATCCTGCAAATGTGTTTTATCTCTCAGTTCCAAACCATTTCAAAAGTAACAATTACCTTCTACCTGACTGGCAAACCCTCCAACTTCTACAATGCACTTACGTATTGTCATTTAAAAAATCTACAGCACATTGAAAAATTTAGTATCAGCTGAAGTGAACAGATTGATTTTTTTGACTTCTGTGCTGGTTATAGTATTATTTTCCCACTGAATTCAGTAGAAATCTTAGAGTCCAGAAGTAATTTTCTGTCTTACTTCCAGAGTTCAGAAGTACTTTTCTGTATATGTATGTAGTTGATTCTGTAATGAGAACTGGAAAGACATCAGCAAGATTTCGCATAGGGCAAAAAGTCCCTGTAGAATCAAGACCTAAATTTTCATCACATATTTATGTTAGGTGCCTTTTAGGTTTGATCTTTTTTTTTTTTTTTTTTTTTT